GCCACTTTAAGATACTAAGCAGCTCTGACTACAACGTGGACATCCATCAGTCTTTCACAAAGAAAAACATCAGGATACCAAGCAGATTGCGCTTCGCCCCAAAACGATTTCACCAGCTCTTGGACCTCACAAAACTCAAGAACGATGTTGTAAATGTGAAGCATTCATCAAATGGTAATCCTTTTCCCCGATTGCTGGTGAAATTGAGAAAAAAAGGCACTTGAAGGAATTTAGACCCAAAGGTACCCAAACGTATGGGACCTCTCGAAACCCGAACGTCACCGAAGCAGGCCCCAGGCCACCACAACACCCAGGTCTCATCCCGCCTGGCACAAAGAGACCAAGGCAGGTCCCAGATTGTCTTTTTGTACACTGCGTTGCGCAAGCTCCTGCCGCGAAACGACACCGGCCGGAGCGGGTCGGAGCGGATGAGATTCGTTTTGGTGAAGTGGCCGGTCGATCTCAGGGAACTGAAATGAACAAATGAAGGAATTTTCTGCAGGATTCTTCCCAAGAAACGAATAGATATGGATAGATTGATAATGATAAATTGGATCTTCAATGATGTTCATATCAAAACTTGGCTCTGGGATTGGGTCTCAGTCGGGCTATCTGTTGGGTATCATCATCCTGAGTTCGTCATGGGCCATTCTTCAGAACCCTTGTTGTTTTGCGGAATGGTGAATGGTTTGAAAGGATTCCGTCTCTTTGTCAACGGAATGTACAGGTCCAATGTTCAAACATTCATCCCGAAATTCCGTCCATGTATTCTCGAGCGTATCGCAAGGCGTTGGGCCCATCTTGACCTGCGTCCGCGCAAAAATGGTTTGGTATCTTGAAGGTAGCGGTTCTTGATGGCCAACACAGCAGTAATACAAAGTGCAGCAGCAATACAGTGCAGCAGTAATACAGTGATGTTTGATGAAGAATATGTGCACTTTTTGCAATCTGCAATTTAAGTGTCCGGCCGAGCAAATGAGCGTGGAAAATGCGTTGCACACCGCCAATCTGCGAAAAGACCAGGTTGTTGAATGCAACAAAATGACAGAAACAATCCATCAACAATCACCAACAACAAAACATGCAGTCCACCAAAATAAATCAAGATCCAGGTTGAAATTATGTCCCTCTGTTGCGCTCAGCATGCAAGCCCGCCTCTCCGGAATGATCATTGAGCTTTCTGTGGATGGCCAGTGCTTCTTCACTGATCTGCCAGAACAAAAGCGTTCACATATGCACTTCGTGCGGGAAAAATCCAACAAGTGATCTGATGTCTTTCTGTGATTTTTTGTTCCGTCCTCCCCCCCCTTCCCGGCGGTCGCGCCTTCACCGCTTCTTTGAGCCCTCGCGGGCGGCTACGGATGCCAGGGTGGTTGACCTTAAGCAATGGTGGAGAAAAGAAACAAAGCTCAGAATTCTCTCGAAGCGACAGAGCTCAGAGTTGGTTCGATGATTGTCTCAGCGCATCACATCATGGTGCCCGGTTTGAAGGTGCACCGACGCCAGGCCTCCAGCGATCGTTTTTTCATGACTTTTCATGTTCCGAGGTCGCTGCACTACTTCCACCTGACTCATCACCGAGGCCGCTGCACGCCAAGGCTGAGGCACGGCCTGCCTCGTCTTTCACCGCAGCCTGATGCTGAGTTTAGCTGAAAAGTCGATGGAGCGTTTCAACAAATCCATTTCCAAGTATCTGGCCCTGGGTCATCCCAGGGCAGTTATCAATGAAAGCTGAAGAATGTGAAATGACAAGTTCTAAGATCCCCCAAGTCATTTGGCAAGCCGTGTTCCAAAAAGAGAGATACCAACAAAAACGGGTCAACTCATCCTGATTCAATCATGGAAATCAAATGAACTAATGCATCATTCATTGGGGGCCAAGACTTCCGGTCAACATGAATCAACCTTGCTGTGGCACTTCTGGCATCTTCCTTTGTGAACCTCCCCGGCTCTGCTCAGCCAGCTCTGTGCCTTCTCTGCCAGCTGCAGGGCTTCCTTCGCCAAGTCCAAGGCTTCAGTGAACCTGCAGGTGCACTGCGCGCGCTGTGGGGCGGTTGGGATGTGATATGGTGGGTCTACTGGTGGGTCTCACGATCTCAAATCAGAGTAGGCTCATGGAAGCAACGTGAACCAACCACGCTTCAGGTATCTTCAGGTCTTTCCAAACACAGGTGATTTCCACCACCTGAAGGGTGCGCTTCCCCACAACCTGAAGTTGATAGTGAGATTTGGTGGACACCCTCAACTCACCTGAGGTGGGCTCCGGCTTCGCCCCTCAACTCCTCAACAGACGGAGCGGCTTCGCCATGCTTCGCCTCTCGGAGTTGGTGTACGCTTCAGCGCACGCCTGGGCGGGTTTGGGTGTGGCGGCTTCAGCGGCCAGAAAGGGAAGAGTTGCGGCTGAATGACAGTACTGAAGGGCCCTTCGGAGTACTGAATAGGAAGAAAGTGACCCACCTGGTGGCACTGAGATATAGAACCCTGTCATGCAATCTTCACTCCAATGATCACAGGAACTCGCCACCAAGTTCTTCTGCTGCTCACTTCGCCCATTTTCACCTGCAAGGTGGTCGACAGGATCTTTGCGTCGCCACTTCTTCTTGCCAAGTCCTGGCAATGCAGGCCGCGGCCAGAGCTTGCTTCGCGCCCAGCTGCTACTGGGTCCAATAGGCGAAGAACAAACGGCCTACCTCCCGTCTGTTGTTCTACTATTGATACTGGCCTCCAACCTAAAGGGCGATGGCCTCCAACCTAATCACCCAGATATATTTCCAGAAAGACTTCTAATGTTATGTTCCTCCGGATTAGGGGGGCCATGGGGAGCACTTAAAATTGCGTTGGATACTGAACTAACGAACTTTGCAGAGCAGCAAACCCAACCGCCTCCGCTTGTTTGGCGGTCTCGGATGCGGTGCTGTTGGACTTCAAGGCCACATGCCTCATGAGCGCCCCCCGTGCACACTGTCTAGAGCTCTGGTACGAAAACATAGTGAAGTCTTGGGATGGACCGGAGGCTGAAGGCTGACTGAAGCTAATTGCCTCATCCACACAGATACTCTATCCCCATTGCTACCGAGAATAGAGGTTAAGCACACCCATGTTATTCAAAAGTTGTCCATATACAATTTAAACTGGGGTTATAATAGGTCAGAGGTGTTTCAACCAATTATATGTAATATCATATATGGTTTAAGTCATTATATATATATATATGTTGGGTCAGACGTGTTTCTTGTACTAAATGAATCTCAATGAGTAGTATTGACAAAAGCGTGCTTAACTACACTCACTCACTTTAGATTGTTGGTAGAATATTCTTGATCTTGTTGTGATTCGCTTTCAGCCATGGCACAGCTGCGTGCATTGCGCCAGCGCCCGGGCTTCGCCGCCGATGTCGCCCACCGACTGAGCAGAAGCAGTAGTAGCTCTGAGAAGCTTCGACTGCCGAGTGCAAAAGCGAAACTTCAGGATTTTTTGGCACGAAAGGTTGGCAAACAGCCGTTGCCAAACCTCAAACGGGGGCACGAAGCCCGGTTTCCTGTACGTATTGTTACTTGGCGTTCGTGTTTGAGTATGCTCAGCAGAGGTGAGCTCCTCTACCACCTCAGTGCTCACCGGTGCTGAGGCCACCACTTGGAACATCGAGGCCTTAGAGAATGGGGGCCCGACTGGTGTGCCCCCCAACCTGGATGTTGTTTCCCGGTCAACAGGTGGTCCGAAGGGAAGACAAACAGTCTCCACTACAGTCTCCAGCTAGGCGCACATGTTCACTTAGAAGCCCCATGTACTGCTTAAATCTTGGAACTACATCATACTACATCAATGAATCATTGAAATCACTGTGCTTTGGCAGGAACACGTCGATCGGATCCACAATGGACCAGTTTTGCTCTGCTACTCACATGCAACACAGGTATGAACACAAGAAGGAGTGACCATCCAAGGTACCCCAAACATTCCGTGAGTTCTGAATCAGCCCAACTTCCCCAGAAGTCAACTGAGTCGGCCAGTCTTCTACATACTGGGATCCACTCAGAGTCGCTCATAGCCTCCTCAAATTCACCCAACCCACCTATGACGCCAAGCACCCGGGCCGCATCTTTACAGAGGCGCAGAGCATCTCGTGGGCCCATGGTCTGCTGGGTCCTTGGGACCAAGTCTCAAGTGAAAACCACAGAAAGCAAAGTAATCGCTGTCAAAACTTTGCTGGGTTTTCCATTCTGACGCCATTCGAAACGTGCCATTCTGACGCCTTCGCCCAGTAATTCCCAGTATTCGAGCTGTCCTTCTCCAAGCAATCATGCTCGGCATTATGACTGGTTCACATCCAGCGGTTCCATCCAGCGGTTGGGGTTCCAACAAGAGGGTCAAGCTCCAAGGTACGCAGCACATGACCAAGAGAGTGACCAAGAGCCCCGGCATTTCCGCCAACCCCAGCGTTGCCGAGGCCTGGTCGAAAGTCGTCAAAAACAAGAAGGGCCATTTCTGTTGCACCCATCAGGCCACAACAAGCCTGTATGAGAGAAGCTATGTTTGCTGTCTATGATCTTGTAGGAATTTGACACTGTTGATGCTCACAAAGGTCAAAAAGTTGGCAATCTGGCCCCCAGATGTCCTAAGCAATCTTTCGATTTTAACTAAATGAAGGCTAGAACTGGGCTTCCCAAGTTAGTGATTCCATGGCATGCAAGAAAGTCTGCAAGGGATTCAGTAAACTCTCTGTGAGATTGTTGATGCTCCTCGCATTAGAAAGTGGCAAGCAGGATGTTTCCCTGTTCCACCCCCCATATCAGACCACATCTCGAGATTCGAGCACTTATCACGTGTATATCCCTCGATTTGGCCTCCTCTTCTTTGAAGCCAGCTTCTCTGAAGACCTTGACCTGGTCCCGGGCCTCAGGGTAGGCACGATCTTCCTAGCCACCTCATCAAGCCTTGACAAACAAGCCGGGCAGCTCCTTCCATGACCTCATGCTGGGCATCTAGCCGCTTGGATGGCCTCATGTTGCTCGCCAGCCTGGCCGAGTTCGGATGAACACGACCAGGTGACCAAACAAAACGACTGAGACCCCCAGCGTGCTGTCCAAGGCATGTTCTGAACAAATGTTCTAGGTCAAGATCATGCTTCAGGACTGTGAGGCAGACTTTTGTGAAGGCACAGCGGAACAACACGAAAGAATGCTGGTGCTGCAGCGATGCCTCCAAGAAAACTGAAGTCAGGTACTGCAGAACACCCACGCAGCCCTGCGACGAAAAAAATATCAAAGAGCGCACGCAGTCTAAACAAACGACAGTTGCCAAAATGATTTGTTATGACCTTATTGAATTTGATGATTCGGCCAAGCGCCCCTCCAACAGAATAAGTGCTCAATGCATGGTACAAGTATGACATGGAAAACATGGGGGCAATCATATGAATGTTGTCAGCTCACGGACTGATCCGGCATCGGTTCTTCAGGCACTTAGACTAGGCCTCGCTGGCCTTCAAGGGGCTCAATAGACCACGAGTACATCTTTCGACGTGTTTCGCTGTTCATGCTTTTAATCCATGGTTCTCCCTGCTAAAAAGTTGCCGCAACTGAGAGGAAGCCAATTGTCAACAATATGTTTCAATCACGGGGAATGGCATATTGGGTACAAGACTGAGTGAAATTGGATAGCCCTGCCCTTGTGCCATGCTACAGTATGACGGGGCGATGATCAAATATAGGGAGAACAATATGTCTGAAAAACAAACACAACTAATAATACCTTTTCAAATAATAGGCAAGAAAAAGGGCGGTTTTCTAGCACTCTCCTGGGCGATTCCTGAAGTAGAAGGTTATTGAACATAACCACGCAAAATAGCATCGTTGTCCATCTTCTATTGATTGGTTGTCTCAGGAATCTGTTGGTATTCTCAAGGCTTCTCAGGGTGTTGGATGAAGCACCTGTTGCCATGCTGCCCAGACCAGGCCAAACACGGTAGAGGAAAAATAGCCAGGTTAGCAGCTAAGCATTGGGCAGGGCAACTCTCGAAGTCTCGGAGGGTGCCTCCTACAACCCCACAAATGCTCACAGTGATGCCTTCAATAAAGAGATCCAACTTTTTCGTAGATGTTCGGCCACCGATCTGGGTGCAATGTCGCGCCTGGCTTGACAGTGCAAATGATAAATAGACACTATAATACTTGAATCTACCGGGAATCTACCATGTACACTTGGCGGCTTGTGCCACAAAGATGTGCCTCTATGGTCAGGAATAAACAAAATGTATATATATATATACATGATTATACATGCATGCGTCATCCATATGCATACCGATCCAACCCGATTCATTGGCGAACACAAAGCCAACCTACACTCCTGACGCTGGCGACGTCTCGCCATCCGACCTTGGGATCTCCAATCTCCTTGAAAATCCGTTGGGCCTCGAGGCGAGAGAGCCGCAAAGACTGGGAAGGTTGCTCTGTCCGTAAATCGTTTGCAGGTTTCCACCGTGCAACCGCTGCCCTGGGCTGTGGAAACTGTTTCAGAACATGGGCCTTCCTGTTTCCGCTGTGGTGACAAGTGGCGCGGGGGACCAAAGGTTCTGAAAAGGATTGAAAAGGCCTGAGTTGAACATCTCTAACAGTAATTAATGCTCCAAAAGACCTCTGGAGAACAAACAGAAATTGAATTTAGGTTGTCCAAAAGCCAAGAGAAGATTCCCAAGTCAGGTGCCCAGCAAAGTAACACAGCTGCTTAAATCTGATAACTGATAACATCTGAGAATCATGTGTTCCATAACATTTCCCGACCAACAGGTTTTGCAGGAGAATGATGGACCTCAGCCTTCTTGGTCAGTTGAAAAATGTTTTAAAAAATGACACGTAGCGAATGCTCGCTGGCGCAGAAAGGAGGGTGTTACTCTGCCAAGCTGCGTCCTTGGCTGAACGCTTTGCCTCCATCATCCTCTTCCCCTGCGGGGTGGAAGGCACCACTCTTTAAACAATGCATGCAACTTGCATGTTTTTGCCAATGCGCACGCCAAAAGCGTAACAAACACTCAACGGCATAACACGCCAACCCTGGAACAAATAGCGCTCGAGCACTTTGCGTTGGACACATCTAAAACTGTTCCCAAAGCAGGGCTCAACCCGAAGTCGATGGACCCGAAGGTCACCAAAGGGACCATTGAAGACCGAGGAAGCTCCTCTCACTGGCCTGGCATTGCAATTCCACCAGCATCTGGGCAGCCTGGCACAACCAATGTAACCCCCAGCAGTAGGACATTCCATTGCCCGGTGTTCGCCATCTGGAACTTTACAAACCCATCTGCGACAGTTGCATACTTAGTCTCCAGTTCCCCCCACGTGAAAATTATCTCCAGGGCATACGGAAATGAGGGAATAGATGAATAGGATGTTGACTGGCACTTCGATTAGAAAACCAAAAGCGGCCAAAATGACCTCATTGGATAAACTCACAAGATCGAACAAGAGTCAACATAGTGTGTACTCCTGGCACCCGCTCCTGGCACGTTCGATTCTTCAAGCAGAAAAGACGAAGCATTTGAGCGCTCAGGACAAGGATTCCCCGAGCTGATTCTGGCGAATTGTTCCGTATCGTTTGATCAATCATTTCACCCACAGGGTCATGATGCCAAGCTCTCACTTGGGGAGTGGAATGAGCATTGGCAGCATTGCCGGTGTCTCATTCTAAAGGGAATGTGAAAGCATAGGCCAGGCCATGGGCAAAACCCATTGACCAATTGAGGTTGGACTGTTTGAAGCAACCCGACCCCACCGATCCGAGCCTTGGCTTCGCCCTTGAGGTCGCCCACCTGGCGCTGGCGCTGGCGTGATACGTGTGGTGTGGTGAGATCTCTGAGGCAAGGTCATGAGATGCCATTTGCACTCCCAACTGCTTCCCCACGCTTGATTCGATACATGTGCTGGTGCCTTTTTCTCATAGTCTCTCAGCGCAACAATTGCACCACTTCCGAGTCGTCATTCTGTGCACCAGCGGTTCAAGCTCTTAGCCCATCTGACCCTGCCACGCGCTATCAGATGGCCCCAGTCTCCAGCAACAACCGGACCACTTCCAAGTGGCTTCTCAGCTCCAACCATCAATCAAGGAGGTTGCCCCACCTGTCTGCTCAGCATTCTTGTCAGCTCCAGCCTCGAGCAACATCTGCACCACTTCCACGTGACCCCGCTCCGCTGCAACATGCAGAGGTGGTTAGTAGCAAAACCTGAAGCAAACTTGCAACTTCAACAGCTCGGTTTTCACACGCACGGAGCGGTTCCTCCCAAACGGCCTCCTCAGGTGCAAAACATGTTCATGATTACCAAACTGCACACTTCGTAATTGTCTTGCACGCATTGCATCCAACTTGCTCACAATCTTCCCGCAAGATCAGGAGTTTTTGCCGAAACCTTGAGCATCGAACCGACCAGCCACGAGCTTAATCCCAACAGATGTTCCACTCTCCACCATGCAGTCCGTTTCCTCCTCATGAAGCTGGGTGACAGTAGCAGATTAGAGCATTCTATTCTCCATTGCTCAAGCTGAAAGGTTTAAACTCCAGGGCGCAGATGCATAAACGAAAACAAAATGCCTTGAGCCACATGGCTAGATGTATGTATATATAACAATTATTGTTTATATGTATTTATTTACTGTGTTTACTTGTTCGATTGTATTTACCACATTCACACGCACACATGCTTGAGTATATATTGTGTGTCCCTTTCTCGTGTTTCCTACCCCTCGCCCCGTCGCCGCGGCACCTGCCGCAATTGCTCCATGGCTTCGGTCCCCCCGGCGGATGGCCTCGCGCGGCCGGTCCTGGGAAGATCACCGCGCGAACGAGAGTGTTCGTTTGGGATGACAATGCGCGGCGCGCCTTCGCCTGAAATGAGGACACTAGTATACAACTATATAGTGTATATAGTAACGTTACATGGTAACTACTAACTGTACTACTATATATCCATTGGTCAGGGAATGTCGGGGTGTTGTCTCTGCTTGTTGGACCATATGTTGAGAATAATCTCGGAAACTGAAGGACTTGCTGTGCATTGGGGCAGGAAAACATACCGTAACTCAGCGTTTGAACCGAAGATTGCATCTTGCCAATTAGGAGGATTTCACTATGAAATAATGAAAGAGAGTGGACCTTCGTCGCAAACTTGTAGGTTTCCACCAAAGTAGCCACTCCATCTGAATCAATCGGAAGCAGCAAGCCGTAAGCCAATGAAATCCACCGCACAGGTCCTAGAAAACCCTGGAGGTCTTGCGATCAAACATGTGCTCTTAGTATACCAATCTTAATCAATTTTATACCGTGCATGTCCCTAGGTCCAACACGTCAAAGCTAGGAACTGCACCTTAGGACATGCAGCAGCAAATACAACTACAGTATATATGATTAGCCAATGTGCATTGGCCATTGAAAACGTTGTTCCTCCCGAGCGTATTCGTTTCAAGGGAGTACGATCCACTCTGAGGTGTCAGTTCGGAGGGGGGAAGCAAGCAGTTGAGAACCAAATCCATCTTCCTCCATCTTCTGTGTTCCTCCCTCAACTAGGGAGTGCTCCCTCTCCTGCAAAGCCATGGCAGCTGCCATTTTTTGCTGGGCATTCGCCTGGCATGAGCGGAGAGCCCAGCGGAAATACGTACAGTGTACAGTAGTGATCTCAGTAGTCACTGGATTGGAAGTCCACACCAGCCTTCTCACCGGAGTGACGGTCCCATAGAGTATCCAAGCTGAATTCCGGACATCGGAAGATGCAACCCGTGGAGCCGAGACAAGAGCCGAGACAAGGCCCCACGCCTCACGGCGACGGTCCCCAACCTTCTTTGCCATCATCAACTCCTGGCCCACAAAAGTTGGAATATGTTGGAAACTGTTCTTTTTGCTGGAGCTACCTAACTCAGGTTCAAAAGGGGGCTCATGAGTTTTCGTGGTCGCACGGTTTTGTCTCCATGCCAATCAAGAATTTCGTGGAGATGGTGGGTCTGACAGCATCGCCGGTCGTCGTGACGACCGAGTGACATGCCAGTCAACTTGCGACGTGCCTTGAGGCATTTTGCACAAAGATCTTGACTGTGAAAGCATTTACTCAGTGTTGGCTGACAGTTCTCGTCTTTCAGTTGTCGAGAGTTGCTGGCTGCTTTGAGCACGACCTAGATTCAACGAGGGAAAACATCAAAAATCTAACCCTGTGCAGGTGTCATGTTCTTGATTTGACAAGGTAATGCAGGCTGTCCGTTTGATTCGCGCAAACCTTTGACAAATCTCACAATCGCCAAACCGCGAGAGACTGCATGAGACGGCAATTGTAGGTTGCAGTTCCAGATCAAGGCCCAAATCTCCCCAACGGCGGTGTCATACGGTGTCAAACAGTGATTCAAAAGGAAACGCGGAGTTAAATCGGCTTTGAATGAACCTGACGTTTGTGCACACATCCACACTCAACTCCTGCCCCTCTAGGGCTATAATGCTGAATCCGGCTAAAGTTGTAACATTGTAACGTCCTCCTCAGCGATTTGGCTGGCTTTCTCCTGGTCAAACCGAGACGGCATTACCGACAGTCCGGCAGCCCAATCGAAAGTGTTCGACAACACAAAAAATATAAAGCCGTGATCGTCAACGCATGTCTATATAAAGTAAATGAATCTACATTTCCAATTCATCAACTACATAGCTTTGCTCTTGGGGCCGCCACACTCCCAAGCCCAGGTTCTTCCAGAAGCCGAAGCACCCCATGTGCAGGGGAAACATGGCTTCCACAGCGCTCCTGCCCACTGATCTGCATCAAGGCCTTGCAGTGGAAGGGAAGGGTGAGACCATGCGCCCGCTCAACTGACGGTGGGATGGCTCAAGGGTTCCCACAACGACAACAGGCTCAAGCGCATGACGTTCAACACCTTGCGAAAAGCTTCATATCACTTGCCCTCTGCAGATTCTGCATCTCCATGTCAGTTCCCCCCATCTTATCCAGTCTCGGAGGTCCAGGGATGAAGCTGGGAGAACAGGGACTGGCCGTGGGCCCCGCCTGAATGGCTTGCCCAATCATCTCGATGTCCCGGACCTCCTGGGCCAAGGACAAGGCCTGCTTTCCAGCCTGGCAGGTCCCGAGGACGAAAGCTGGACATGAAAAGCATTGAAAAGCAGTGACTTGAAACTCTTGTGACATTTACCAGGGAACGCCTAGACTCCCTAGACCTGTGTGTACAGGGGATGCATTCAAATTTTGGGGGAGTTGTGTCAACAGTGCGCAGGCAGCAGCTTCACAGATTTTTGGGACCATCCCCGAACTGGTTCTTTTGACTCACCTGTCGCCTGAACACCACATGATTGAAGGTTGCTGATTTACACAAGGTCCATCAAGATAGCTGCTGGACGTATAATTGTAATTTCATGTAATTTCCATATATCCAGCGTCATCACTTTGGGAATGATAACATGCCACGCGCCATCCCGTGCCACTGGACAAATAGCCACAACTCTCGGAGCATCAGAAGGGCATGACACCCTACCCCTCCCGAGAATGCGGTGCAACTGCGCGGCCTAGCAGGTCGCCCTATACCGGGTCGGATCACGAGTGTTCTGCATGCAGGCCCAGATCATGGCTTTCAGCGTAATAAAGGAATAGATCCCTCAAGGCTTCAGGTGCCTTCAAGGCTTCAGGTCCTTGCTGAGCATTCACATAGGCCTCAAATGATCGGGCAATGTGGCGACTGCGGGCGTTTGGCCAAAGTAGTGCCAAAATGCGTATGTTCTCCCACATGCCCCATCGTTCATCTGCATGAGTAGGGGATATATAAGTCAGCTTGACAAAGGCGGGGACAGGCCTGTCAACTGCACAGCCAGGCCCCTGACCCCTGTCAGTGGTGATGATTCAGGAATTTACTGCGTTGCGGTTTGCGAATGGTACCTGGCGTCACCTTTCATGATGCTTCCTCCTTGTTACTCTTTGCTTCCCGAACCTTTCGGTGAAATCCGCGACTCAATCTGACACACACGGCCATGGGCACCGGCCATGCATGAGCAAAGGCATGCTTCAGCCTGCACAGCGGTGGCAGGTCCGTCGCCGGTGACCGACGTGAAGCTGGACCGTCCGCCCGAGGGCGTCAATCCCAAGCAAAACACATCTGCGCTTTTGATGAGACTCATACATGGTTCCTGTTTAAAACATGCCCCAAAATTCCACCAAGAAAAAATACACGTTAGGATCCCAAAATATCCAAACACCTCCTGCTGCACCATCCTGGTGCATGCATCCGGCCAGTTCATGCCCCCCCGAGATAGTCTTGGGCGATGTGGATTTGACATGATTTGACGCCTCTATCTTGCTGTCGCAGGTCTCTCTTGCCAATGCCAAAGCCCTTGAGGCCGTCCGCCGTGCCGCAATCTGATCGTTCGGTGAGTTCGCCGTCCGATTGTGATTGGGAGATCCAAGAAATCGCGAACATCAGGGGCATGCATGCAGAACAACGTACCAAATTGAACTTGGGACGGTTTCGGGAGGTTCTGGCCTTTCAGTCTGGAAGAAATCAAGCTACTGTACCTGACTGCGGTACTGGAGCTCCAAGAGATTCCAAAAGCAAACAGTATTCTGTCTGACCCTTTCGGAGGCCGAGGTGCTCCAATGATGGAGGAGTTGATTGTGTCACACTGCGGAAGACCAACAAAACTCCCGCCAGGTATATATATAAGAGCATTCGGATTCAAAGAGCGGCTGATGCTTGAAAGCTTGCACGGTCACTGCACTCCCCATGGAATGCCATGAAAACATATGAAAACCGCAACACTCTGAGCAGCGATGTCACTATTTGGAGTTCTTGTGGTTTCCTTGCGGTTTTTGTGCACCAAGTTTGTGAAAGACTCTTTGGAATGTCTAACTGGGTCGATGTCCCAGGGCAACATTGGCCATTGCATTCTGGACCTACAACCTCACGGTGTCCATGTTTTACCAATTCAATTGTGCAAGATCAGGGCGAACCATGGAGGGCTTCAAGCTCACTACCTTTGCAGCTTTAGACGTCGTCTAGAATCATCTGACTCTAGACTCTAGACCTAAACATCTTTCCGCCCTCGGTCGCGCTTGGGCCCAAAGCCTGTGATCCCTTCATGAGATTGTAAGCCTTTGCTTCTTCACCTTGGCTCAAGAGGCGGCATTCCAGCCATAGCATGGGATGAGCAGAGTCTTACCAGAACACCCACCGTATCCTCCCATTGTCATATGCGTCCCGCTGGGCAGGTGACCTCCATACAATAAATCAAGCATCATCAGACCTCAAATGTTCTTCAATGTTTATATATACACGTACGTTGAGCCCTGTCCGCTTCTCTTCAATCAGGACGTCAACTCAACAGGGAAAACTTCTCTCTGAGGCTTCCAGGTGCCCCGGCAGGCTGCCAGTGCTGTCTGCCGTGCGTCGCCCATGCGTTCAAACAAGGCACCAGCCTGCCGTACCCCAATGAGACTGACATCTGACGAAGGCAAGCCAAGGTGAAGGATCATTTTGGATGTGGGTGAGGGCGGGGAACGGTGGTGAACCCCCTGTAGCTTCTTTCATGGATGCTAAAATCACCCAAAAGAATGGCTCATAGAATGGAACTATACACACATTCATGTTCGTTAGCGCTGTCGGAAAATTCAAGTTGACATAGTTTAACTGCCTTGGCTACCAATTCACTTGAGGAAGGTCTAAAGAATGGGAAAACAAGTGAAAACCTCCCTGTTGCGAGACTGCAGTTCTCACTCCGTGTGCGAGGCGCAAATCTATAAATCGCGTATAAAGCGTATAGTAGCCTACGAACAAATCAACCACCTCGTCAAGGAGCTCGTTCTGGTCTTTCGCCCGTCCAATTAGTGTCCTGTCCTGTATGGTGAGGACACGCACACACTGTTGATAGAATCTCTCGATATGGTCTTGGTACACATTGCTTCGCCCTGCTTCTTTGCACCCTTCCGCCTGCTCCGCTGCCTCCACGGCGGCCACTGCCTGAATGTCACCATATGAATCGCATCTGCAGTCGAAGCTGAAGTCACCCCTGAAACATCCCATGGTGTCCAATACCTTTGAGAGCTAAGATGTCTCAAGGCCAAATCACCGACTTTATGATTTCAATATGGTTTAAGTAATTAAACCAATACTACCAAAATTATGAAATCATAAGTTAAAAAAGATAGATTGGCCCTGTGAAGAAACCATTAATTGTTCCATACCATGTTTCATTTCATAATGTGTCCATATGTTTCATAAAATGTTGCTAAAATGTTCATAATTCTTTATCATGAACATTTTATGCTGCTTTAATGAACAATGTATGAAAAGTGGTATGACATCTTTTATGAAAGCAGGATTGATTGTAACTGTTACAAAAATTCGTAAGTTACTTTCATAAACAATTTCATACCACTTTTCGGATCATAAACTGTCATTTACAACAAAAAACATCTGTTTTCATTAATTATTAATTTCGAGAAACCCACGAGAAGGTCTTTAATATTTAGTGATAAATATATGACAAAAATATGAACCATGGTATAGAAAATGTGTGGCTTGTTCACAGGGCCAATTGATTTTTTATGTGTTGTTTATGATTTCATACATTTGGTAGTATTGGTTTCTAAATAACAACCAAAATACATATGTTGAAGTGGTTTGCACCAACTTGCTGGATCTCAAGAATACCTGAAACATGCCGTGCTTGCTGTACACTCTTCACGGAGCGATTCCAGGGTTGCAGACACCCATCCTGCCGCCCAAAAAAGGTTCAACATCATAAATATGAATGAACATATATAGTACATAAACAACACTACACAATAACTACAATAACAAACATGCCGGTTCTACTATGTTCTGCGGATAATGTTCTATGGCTTTTGTGTGGGTGATCTGGATCTAGTCAATACTTTGTGTGCAACCCTGCATTCTGTCGCCTATCTCGATTATTGCCCAGGCACCTCTGATGCCGCAACACGAGCCTGACCAGCATCATCACACGAAACATTGTCACGCATTCAACCGTGGAACCGCCCCGAGCTTCCACATGTTTGTGCCTGAAGGTGGGGCAGCTAGTAGCTAGTAAGGCTACATCCACCACCGGGCTTTAGAACATTCGCGTCGCTCATATCGGCCCACACCTTGGCACAACTCAGCAGAGCTCCTGCCAATTCACGAGCCTGGCAGACGTTGACAATGACCAATGGTGAGCGTGGGTGTCAGCACATCCATAGACCCAGGGTACATACATGTACATACCATGGTATACCATGCCTAGCCGCCTTGCCAACCTCGAGTGGTCATCTGCGATGTTCATTCTCTCCGGCCTCTTGTCTTGTGGAGGGCTTCAGAATGTGCTCCTTGACGCGCTCCGTCGTGATCGCCACCAAGGAGTGGCGGCCCTGTGCAAGGTAGATGTCCTGATCAGCCCACAGCGCTCGGCTCAGAAGCTTCTTCATCTTTGTTCGCTTTGAGGACATGACATTCCGTTGGCCAGATCTGGACATGAGGACAAGGTGCCCAAGACGGCTGTATAACTGTTGAAAGAACTTTGGGTCTTGAAGATCTTCCGAATATCCATGAATCACATATCCAAACTTTGCATGCCAAGGCACCACCAGCGACCGATAGGCCATGCCTTTTCGTTCCCTGCTGGCGTCTGCCTGGAGGATTATTGCAACCAACCATTGCTGTCAAGCACCCACTCGCACTCACCCTGGCTTGAAAATGGCAAGCACTTCAAAATGACAGAGAACGAAACCTGCTCAAAACTGTCCAGCGGCGCCTGCTCCAGGGTTGACCTCGAACATATGCCAGTTTCATGAGAGATTCGGCATGGTGACATGGGCGCCAGAAACAAATATATATATATATTCATACTACACAGTTGCCAGTCGCAAGTGTCACCCAACATTGTACGACACTTAATGCAGCAAATGCAACACCGACAAACGTACCACCATGGCTGCTCACATTCACCGAGCGCATCACAAAGCTTGCTGAGCCATGGGGAGCGCTTCCGCGTGGCTGTCCTCGTGGCTCGGTGGTCAGCACGGGTGCACAAACGATCTGCCCCTCCGAGAGGAAAAAGAATGCAAAAGCTCAGACTGACTCAGACCTCAAGCGTTCCTTTGAAAATACCACGTTCATCCAGGTTCAATAATTATGTTTCAACCCGTTGTCCCAAGGATTCCCAAAGTCACACAAGAGCATCCACATTAGACTCACTCAAGCCAGGTCTGCTGGAAACGGCTGGTGCAATCAAACGAAAGGCGTCGGTGACCGGAACGACTCCCAAACAATGCAGCGTATGCAACGTATGGAACATTCAATGCATTTCAAGACATTCCTTTTGTCGCGTGAATTGTTGATGATTGTGTGGAACTGGGAACGGGAGAGCATGAGAACAGTGGCCAAACTGAGCAGTTCGTCAGTCTTTCCTTGCAGTTCTTGACTGTCAGACTATCCCCCGTCCATCGCCAGGAAGATCTCGGCTGAGGCCAACTGCATGATGGCCTAGCCAACCCAACTTCCAAGGAGGCCCCAACTGGTGTGCAGCTAAAGTTTGGAATAGGAGAACGTGCACACTCGACTCACTCGACGTGTACAAAACCCAGGGCACAGCCACATGCGAGACACAGGATGCGAGCGACGTGCGCCCATGCGCCTTGGCAACGAATTGCCCACTCTTCTCAAAGGCGAAGGCCTCGCTTGAAGCCGCCTGCAGAACGGAGCGGGCTCAGTGGACGGAACGAAGACGAGAAACACCCAACTACAGGGAATATGAACCTCGAACACACTTGAAGTCATTGCAATTCATGGCAAATCTCCACAGAAGGTCCCAGTTTTGAGCCCATGAAGTACCTACAGCAAGTGTATATACTATAATTCTTGGGAGTCCACATCTATCACATCGAATCTTTCTCCAACCTCTCTGCCCCTGGTCGCCTTAAGCGCTTTCTCCAGCACGTCAGAGTCCGGGGCATCGAAGCCTTGACTTTCCGCTTCCTTGATTTGGGCCTGGCGAGTCTCAAAGACGTGGGGGGAAGCCCCCAAGATGAAGCTGGACCCGTCCCCCCAGGCTCTCATACGCGTCGGCTTGCGCGCCCCACGCGCTCTTTCGCACAAAGTCCCCAAACATGTCCAAAACTTCGCGGCTTTGCAGAACAAACTGCCCTCAGTTGGAAAGCAAAACTCTCTGTCACTCTGCACTCTGTGCCCCAAATGCACTTGGATCACTTGAAAGGACTGAACTTCTATGAACTTCTCCCAGTCGGCAAATGTCGGTCAATGAGTTTGAGTTCCCCCAAGGCTCTTCTCTCTCCCTCTCGCACCTCCCCCGCTCTCTCTACCTCTCATAATTATATATATATATATATTTGTATATCTGTCTTCTTATCTTCAGCTGGCCTTGGTGACCACGCGCAGGGCATCAGCCTCCCGTGCGGCGTCGCCCTCACTGGCCGCCTGGCTCCTTGCCTGATGAATTTCGAAGGCGGACGGTTGCAATGGGGGAAGCAGCTGTGCACGTGCTGGACCAACCAAACGACTGTTTCGCGACATTGATGAAGTTGCTTGCATGTTGATGTGGTGAGTTTCTCCATCATAAGCCCACATCACCCACATCAAATTCAGACCTCCAGAGTCAAAGTACAACTGCAACTTGATTGACAAGGGCAACCAATCATCTTGGGGTGCAAAATCTCGCTCAACCACCAATAGCTGCCTTCCTTTCCGCCTGAAACCGGCAGGTTGGTTGGTTGGTTAGAGGTGCTGATCGAATCACTGTGTGCTAGCCCACCTCTCCAGCAAGGAACTCAGCATCTTCGTAGTGTCCATCCTGTCCCCCCCGGTTCCAAGGCGAACGGGGGGCGGTTCTTCTAAAACCTGATGATGTCGGCAGGAGCATTAGCATAGTAGCCGCTGCCCCTGCAGTCGTAAACACTCTCTTATAAACTTGTAATGAGAAGGAATGATGGTGTTGATCCGATGACATCTCGTCCGGGAGTTCAACTTGAGTTCAACGACATTGCGGTGGATCATCTGCCACCTCGCACCACAACCACCGCTGCCACAAAAATCAATATGGGGATGCATGGGGTCACTGAGAAGATTTTGGCCTGTGCAGCTAATCAGCACCTTTCCCGTGCGCGCCTTGCCCATGAATCACCCTCCCAGATGTCCCAAAATATCTTCTCCCGAGCCTAATGGATTTTGATGAGCGGAGTTCCCCTGAAATTGTCCCACCTGGATCCTGTATGTGCTCCCGAGGTCACATATCAGCCATTTCTTGAACCAACCTGACTGCTCATGAAAACCACATGTGTACATCGCGTTTGCGGACGTCCCCAGACCTCCAAAACCTCGATCGCATCATCCAGGTCGTCCCGGGACCTCAACGCGTGTCCCGCCACAGGGTGAAGAGGTGGCCGACCGGTGGGTTGGAGGAAGCATGGAAAAACATTCAAAGGCCACCAGGTGTTTTTGGGAGTTTGTTGACATTCGGATCAGCACCTTTAACTTTAGGCCGTGAGATCCAATTCAACGTGACTAGGGGGTTGGCGCTAACATAAAACAAGGTGAGCACACAAAATCCACAGAACATCACATGCACTGAGCACGTGACAAGACTTTGTCGTCTGCCTCCTTCGCATCAGCTTTCGCCACATCAGCTTTCGCCGCAACAGCTTTCGCTGCATCAGCTTTGGCTGCTACAGGCGGCTCAATCTGGCAGCTGGGAAGAAGAAACACCCGCGCAGTTGGGCGGCCTATATTTTATAATTGACACTGTTTAGTTGATGGTTTGTTTTTAAAAAATATGCGTACGTGTTTGTTTCCGGAAAATTGGTTTCTAATCGACTCGGTCTGTACGTTTTAACCCATATACTGGAAACTCGCGCTTATGGAATGTTTTCGGAGGCCCGCAGAGTTTTAGGTTTACAGTTGACTCGTAGCTTACAATTGTGATGTGAACGTTATATGCATATCGTCACATACCCAGAAATACCCATAGAAGTAGCAGTAAGGCCGTCAACAGGTGGACAACACCACCATACTCATTGTCCTCCAACTCACTCTTGACAGTCCCAAAGTGTCGTCTTCCACATATGCTCTGCACTGCCAGGCTTTCTGGAGAGTAAAGGTGTCCACGGTCCACCTTTATTGAACAAAACAACTGGTTGTCTTTTGTGCTAGGAGCAAGAAGCTACTAGGAGCAAAGGGCAGCGCTACTAGGAGCAAGGACGCTACTAGGGGCTCCTGGCCTTACTACTAGGAGCAAACTCTCCAACTCTCCGTCCTGCTGCCGGTTGCCAGCTCCAAGTCCACGTGCTGCCGGGCCTGGGGAAGCGGCTTTGCAGGTGAAGCTTGTGCACGTGTTTCGATGGACGGGTGCTTCGGTGCAACAATTCAAACAAAAAGGACATCGTGGTCATGGTTCAAAAAGAGTTTGCACAGCTGCCAAAGGATTCACATTATCGCGAAAAGAATGGAAAAGAACTTATTTGATTCTACAGTGCGCGAGTTCTCAGTGCCAGGCTTGCTTTGGCTTCAGGCATCTTGGCAGGAGGCGGCACTTCCTGGCTGGGATCACTGGCAGGGCCATTAGCCATGCGTTTTTGGGCCTCAAACTTGGACAAAATCCGTACCAGCCTGGTTGCAACATATGTGGCCCGTTTTGTACACACAAATTGGGGCAAAATCGAAAAGAATGTGAGACCTCAAGAATTGAGACAACTTGATATAGTGGCCTGACGTTCCCTGATGTTCCCTGACCAATTGGGGTCTTCCTTGGTCTTACAGTCTTTTTCCTATTCACAGGCGAGTTTTCGATTGCCCCTATGCGAGGGGTGCTCTTTTGTAGGCAGTTGCGGTTTGGAAAAGCGATGGACTTGTCCTTTGTGTGGCCTTTGCTATGAAGGCCTGAGCCTGGTTTTGCGTTTTCCTAGTCGCTTCGACTGGCCCAATGGTTTCGAGACCTGCGCGGCCCTCTTGTCCCATGTAACATTGGTTCTCCCCTCACTGCTTGTTCATTTGACCTTTCCATCTGGATCCATTCGGCCCAACCCCTGGCCAACTTGGAGGAAGAACACGAGACATTTCCCGCAGCCCCACACCAATTGCTGTACCTTCTTGGGCGCTTCGTCCACCTTTCCTGTGCTACCTCAGGGTCAGCGGCCAAGATGAGATGAGATAGGGTTCAACGATGACAACCTAACTAGCCCATGTGTGACATTCCCTTCTTAAGCTGGCGAACTTCTATGATCCAGGATGGGTTGGGTAACTTTCTTGTCGACGCTAAAGTCACCATCCACCATTATATACCCGCTTTGCAAGGCACAAGTCCGAATACGCGAGCATCTCTCTCTCTCTCTGTGTATGTTGGGGCACCAGGTATTTCCAATTTGTTGTCGTGGAAGGCCAATTTGAAGGATACATCGTTCAGCCAAGCTGTTGACCACTGAGGAGCATCAAATCATGAGCCAAGAAGCTGATCAGGGGAGGAAGCTCGTCGTCATCCTCATCGTCACTCTCATCATTCACGGGCACAGCCTGCAACAGCTTGTGGGCAAAGCCAAGCAGCAAATGCAATTTGACTTCGAGGATTGTGCTGTTGGAAGAAGCGGTTGACCATGGTTGACCTCCTGCTGCTTTGAGTGGCCAAATCCTCAACTCCCGCCTGTCTGGGGATCTGCGTTAACCTCTCCTGGCACTCAGAACGCAGCATTACTGTATGCAAAACTATGGAGACACAAGGTTTTGAAGCCCAAACCAGTGAGGACATGCCAAAGGAGAGCAGTCAAGTCTTACATGATCAATTTGCCCCCGGCACTCCCAAGCAGAGTGTGGATGCAAGATTGTTGATTGTTACCTGTGTTTATGTAGTGACGCAGAATGGCACAGAAGTGTTGGACAAATGTTTGGTCGAACATATTTCTGGGAGCAACCTTCTCTCTGTGGATGAGGGGAACTGCTTGAACTGCTGCAGTTTGAAGTCGCGAAATGTGCAGACGGTGGCCTCTTGTCTTTGGTGCTTCTCAGCTCCCTTCACCCATCGCGCCCCTTCATTTCATTTCATATCACATCCACTCCTTTGCAGGTGCCCCCTTCTGCGAGGTGGCTGAACCTCAAAGAAATCAAAACAGGCCGACCAGCCAACGACGAACACGACCGGGGTCAAAACAGCTGATCTTTGGAATCAGATCCAGTGATCTGTCACTCCGGGCCTCCTCGGGTCTTGTGAAGAACATGCCGGGGGCGATTTGATCTGCTTCCATGCACTTGCTAACGTCAGCCCTGGATCAAAGGGATCAATCCTGCATGCACCTACTCTCCTAAAAGTCTGAGGTCGGAGAGCCTTGCTACTCACGTAAAGTGTTGAGCAAGCACTCTAGCGAGAGTGTTCCCAACAGCCAATCCACTTGCGTACTATCTAGTCTAACGAGATTGAACCAACCTCAATTGAGATACACCCATCCCGGTGAGCATGTAAGAATGTAAGGAAAGCCAACAAATGGAGCGGCGCTTTTTTGTATGTTCAACAAGGTCTCTTCAAGTTTGCCTCCCACACAATCAAACCATGTATCAACACTGGCTGGCGTTTGGAGAACAATCTTCCAATGGCAATTAATCCTAATGTCTGCCGTGCTCCAGAATGATATGCACGTCTCGTGAGTCCTGGATGGTACGGCGGGCGATGATAGCTCGTGACTCACGTGGATGATGTTCATTAAGTCGACATATATAAGTCGACCAATGAACTCAAATGACCCAAAAGCCCCAAATAGTGTTGCCAAACCGGGGCCATTGATGAGAGTGATTACCAGGTGGGGGAGGGAAGAAGATGTTGGAAAAACAATTTGTGAAAATCATCCGTCTGTTCTGACCCACCCCCCCCGACGTGCCAATGAACTGTGCAGCTCTGCAGCTTGCTCCCCCCAGGCTCGGGCTCCACGCCACTTTGCACGAGCGGCGGCAGTTCATCGTCACTCTCAATCTGCGGCACCCGGAGGGTGAGAGGCTGAGCTCGAAAGAGGTTTCTTGAAAAAGATTAAGAACATAAACATCATAATACTAGTAAATAAAAACAAATGAATCCTCACATCCCAAACCATGTGAAGATCAATTGCGTTTTATGCTAAGTTATGCTGGCGTACCTCGGAAATCCTTGCCAGCTAATTAGGTGGGAATGTCGATGCCTCAGTTCCGAACGGGGAGATCCCTGAAGCTGTTTGCTCACTATGGAACCTGCCGGACCGCCCCACGTTGGCCCACCTCTGTAATCACAGCCTCGGTGCGGTTGCGGTCTTTGAATGAGATGGGAACAGGTACTAGCCACGTAAGGTGCCGGCCATGTCACAAACCCAATTGGAAAGCTCCAATATCTACCTACACCTACCTTGAAGCAGAAATGCCATCGCATCGGACACGTGACGCACCAATCGACTGTACCGGATGGCTTGATTGAAATCCCGTGCGTTTCTCGTAATCGGCCCTAGGGTGGGGAAAGGAGGCCCTTGTCGTTTGAGGTCCAGCTTCTGATCACAACATCGAGTCTGAAAGCAGTCATTCAAAACCATCGAAGGCCTCAGCTTGATGTCATTTTGATGTGTTTTTGCCGCAGTGAATGCATTCAGCACCTACCAGACCTGCCTCAACCAGACGTGTCCCATCAAACTGTGGAGTGCATGGACCGAAAATAGAGCTCTTCTCCGGTTTTCTCGAAGCACTTGTCCCCCCCATCGGCCCGCAGGCGCCGTCTTTTCTCGCAGCCCTCCATCTCTACCTTTCCTCCACCTGTGCGCCCAGAGCCGACCCAACGGGCCAAGTTGGAGGTGGCGCTGCTCGGAAAGTCTGAGTTGGTGGGGATATCTCAGGGAGGCACGGTGGTCTAAAGGACAAAGGGATGATGGTCAAAGGGACCTCCACAATAGGCACATGGCGAAAGGTTGACCGACTACCAGTGAAGGTGGCATAGATCATAGGAATTATAGGTTGGACCTTATCACCGTCCAGGCATATTAAACCGGTCTCAGGCACGGAGCCTTTGCAGAAGACAGCCGTATATTACACCTACACCTAATTCATCTGGCTCAGTTCCTCCAATGTCCGCTCCACATGGTTTTTTTTGCCTACAATGCACAAGGATCAATCACAAATCACTCCCCAAGGAGATGGTTTTAGAGGGGAGCTGAAGCAATCCCACTGAACAGTCATCTGTAAGTCCGTAAGGGCACTTTCAGAACTACCACCGCCACCTTCCCCTTCATCTGCTGCAGAACTTGATTTCCAGGGACATATTTTTGCCCACAGCTATGGCTCAGGCTCTTTGGGTGCCAGTGCCCACCATGTCATACAATGGTCGCTTCTGGGCACAAATGAATTGACATGCCATCTGCAACCTCTCAAGACCCTTGAAACGCCTTCGCTGACCGCACACGGGGCCCTTCACATAAATCATCCTAAATATCCACAACAGTTCAAAACCATCTTGATTGCTTTCCTCATCTTTCCTGTTCGGGGGCCTCTGATTGTGTGCTTCTCCTCCTCTCCAATTCCTGCATTGGGATATTCAATCAATGCAGGGGACAGCCACCTCAAAGGTCTACAGTATTAGCGCAAGCTGTAGTATCCATAGGCCTTACTTTCACAGTTCGACTACAGTGGCATTTCCTCAGTTCGGAGCGGCTGAACCGTTACAGCGGTGAAGCGACCTTGTCAAGGAGCTTGTACAAGTTCTCCTCAACAATCTGGTCAACCTTCTTCTCCAACCTAAGGACATATTGAGCAGCTTGCGCGACCCGTGGCATAAGAAACGTCTCCCAATGGACTCCACGCACAAACACAGTAATATATATATATATATGACATAAACATGTATATAAATTATACACCTGGACCTTCAAACGGTGCAAATTTTTGCTGGATGCATTTTGAGTGAAAAAACACCGTAATTTAGAAAAGCCGTTTTAGGGGTGCAAACATATGCTCACAATCCATGGACGGGGAAAGACGCCCATTGGACGCCAGAAGACGCCGTTTGGAAGCCCAAAAATGCAATGTCTTTTTGGTTTCCGCTGGTCACAACAAAAAAATACCGTCTTTGGAAGAAACTGCATTTTTCTGGAAAGGAACTATTTGTGCTGTTTCGACGGTCCAGGTATATATTTGTTGGTATAGTTATTATAACTATACAAAAACAAATACAGTATATATACATTATATACACATATATGTGTGTAACATATATATACATATATACATGTACAGTATGATTATATATGCATGCGTGCTACTCCTTCTCAACGGCATTTTTGTAAAAAGAGGCAGGAATCAAAGCTTCATTATCCACTGAAGCACCTAAGACTAAGCCACCAATTGAACAATCGGACGGGCTAAGCTAAACTCAGTGGCCGACACATCGGAGAGTTCTTTGCTCTCCTTCCTGGGGTGCAACTCCAAGATCACCTCGCTCAGCTTCTTGATCTGTTTCGATGACATTGCCTCGAGCACCGCGCAAGAAGCGCCGCCACGAGCGCCGCCACAAACGCTGCCACGAGCGCCACGGCCCTTGCTCGGAGGTTTCATCCAATGAATCTGGACCCGAACTCCCCGCCAAAAAATAAACTCTTTGGGGAGGGGGCGGTCACCCATTGTTGAACCTCAAAAATCATTCAAGGGCATGAGGCTTTTGAATAAGAATGAATGTACATGGTGACATCGCGGTGTACTATTTGCTGTACATCGGGTAACATGGCAATCCTATGCAATCTCGGGATGTGGGGCAGGCCGCGTTGGGATCCAAATCCTGCTTGGACCTCGGAGCACCCCAAATTGGTTCCACCATCATATTGCAGGGAGGGTGACAACACCCAACCTTCCCATCGTCTAGAGTCTACATCACCTCCATCGATCTTGAGCAAATCAAGCAAGACCGAGACCCGTAGCAAGACCAGTGCCTGCTCTCGAAGCCTTGCCATCAGTTTTTGATCTTCTCGTTTTTGCGCCAATAAGACCACACGTTGCGCCAGCCTGGTGCCCCATAACCGGACAGGTGACGGTCACTTGTCGGAAGTCGGAAGTCCCTATAGGTCTTTAGGTTCCCAAGAGCCCGTGAGTGCTGCTACGAAACGACGTACCACTCAAATGGTCTTTAGGCCTGACGTGGCTCTCGAAGCTGCCATCAAGTATCAAGTCAATTCTCCAAACCCTGCATGACACAAAGGCAAACGCCTAGCTGTTGCCCATGCGTCCGACATGAGGTAGGTGTCTTCTGAGACGGTTCCACTGCCTCAGGCAAAGACAACGCACAAGTGCTGCGTTTTTCGATGACACGTTGCATTCAACATTAATTACAGTAATTCTGCAAGGTTATTGTCATGCCAGATCATACCGGTTTTTATGTGGGTTTACTGTAGGCAACTGGTAACTACAGTTGGTGTTTCTAGCTTAGGTCTTGTCATGAAAGACTTTCCAAGGCTTGTTAGCCACAGCATGCGCAATCGTGCAAAGCTAAAGCTGGGTGTTCCAATCCATAGCGCACCACAGGAAAATCTGCCACCTGAGCACATGGACAGCGATCTCGTCGCTGGTCTCTGGAATCGACGCATCGAAGCGATACCTTTGGACAGTTGGACTCCTAGTGGGCCTCACCTTAGCCATTTGTGGCATCCGAAAGGCACACGATCCTGTTCAAGTTCTGCGCGATAAGAATGAGGGAATGAGGAAAGTACTGAAACTGAACCTTTTGTTGAAGGTCTACTAGGCCCGTGCCATTGAAGAAACCAAAAAGATTCCTTTACTGGCCACTCTGCATCCGTGCACTTCAAGACATAAGGTTGGGTAAGAATAGCTTGCCAGTAAGCCAACTAGAACGAGGGGGGGAAGCTATTCAGCTGTTTCCAGTGACCAAGGTACGAAGTTCCAATCAACAAGTGCAGGAGCTTCGATTCTGTGAGGAAAGAGATGGCGATGGCAGAATGCAGCAGCCAAAGATCATTATATAATACATTATAATTACATACAATTTCAATTACGGTCTTTCTGTCATCACCCGCCAAGGCACCCCCAAAGAAAAAGGACACTCCCGCAGCTGTGCAGGCGATTGCACCTTTGAACACAAAATGGACAGGACTTCCAGGGCATGCCCTGCCCAAGAATCATGCCTCAATTCGCAGGATTCCCACCAGCGACGAGAGAAACGCCATCAACAACACCGTCGACAGAGATTCGCCGCAGCCAGTGCCTCTTGGCAGGCTTCCTCGAAGATCTCTTTCCTCTGCGCGGCTCATCTGCAGATCAAGCCAGAGCCGATGAAAAGCACGTTAAACGCAGACTTTGCACTCGGTTGTTTTTGCCATGGACCGATATTGCTGGGTGAACAGAAACCCCTCACAAAGCCATTTGTCGTCCTTTTATCTAAAGCTCAGCGGCACCCCAACTCGGGCAACTAGGGTTATGAAGTCGGGTTTTAGCCAACCATTGGAAATCATGATTTAATTATTTAGCAAAAATGTTGCAGATTTATTTAGAGAGGGGGGAAGCACCTGGGAATCTATAGTGCTTCACATTAGTGAAATAGATTAGGGTGGGGAAAGCAGTCTGAGACAAGTCCTGAGATATCCTGAGATGCCAGAGAGAGAGAGAGAGAGCAGGCAGACTCCGGTTGCGGTGTGCTTCGGGCTCATGGTTATGCCCGGTTATGCCATATAGCCTATCTGGGCCTATCTCCATTGTTCAACCCCTGTTTGTCGGGTCAACAAGTCACGGTTCAGTAAACTAGTCACTAGTCACTGGTCACACTCCGCTGCCAGCCTATTCCTCTTCTATTCTATTGTGTGAGGGTTTCAGAGTCGCTATTTTTTTTCTCTATTTTGGATGTCATGATATGGTAGTTTTTTGCTATTTTTCGAGGAAATAGCAAAAAAAATAGCAAATCCATTAGCAGGTGGGAAATATTAGTGGAACACAATAGTGAGAGACATAGAGCAGGGCAGGGGAACTGCAAATAGTTAGAGCGGGAATAGTGAGAGAAAAAGAGCAGGGCAGGGAAACTGCAAATAGTTAGAGCGGGCCTATAAGCCCGCTCGCTGCTAGCTACTTACTAGCTAGGACCTAGGACCGAGGACTTACAGGGCCACCGAGAGACAGGAAGCTGGGATACATCAGGGCCATGCAAGCTGGGATACGGACACCTCTCTTTTTAGGTTTACTAAACTTTTGATGGTGCTATTTCTCTCTCTAATTAGGTTTACTAAACTTTTGATGGTGCTATTTCTCTCTCTAATTAGGTTTACTAAACTTTTGATGGTGCTGTTTCTCTCTCTAATTCACTTAGCAGTTATTTTGCTAAAATAATCTTTTCATGTCTACCAGTGGTTCCCTGAGCACAGCTTCATAAAACTAGGGGTGGCCTGGCAATTCAAGAACCAAATTATATAGAAACTTGATGTTGTACCGTTGTACCTCGCCATAATTAAACAATTGATGTGCCGAGCTCAGCACACATATCGCAAGGTATACAGGAGGTACCCACTTAAGGCACAATCGCGCTGCGCTTGGCAATTCTTGTATCACATTCCCACAAACTACCAGTCCAAACGCCAACAAACCAACAAGCCAAAAACCCGAGCGAAGCGAAGCCAACGGGTCGGCGGGTCAGGGGCCGAGTGAAGTGAAGCTTGTACAGATTCCTACGGCAGGTGTAGCTTCAGTGGAGGACTTTGCCCAGAAAGACGCGCTTTTCAATCTGCACCTTCTGGTAGCAACAATCCAAGAAGGACCCGATGAGGCGTGCCGGCCCCAAACAATGTCGCACCCGATGCACAGTTAGTGACCTCATCTATATAAGAACAGGGACATTCCCCACGTCTCTCCCTGTCTTTCATCAAAGATCGACACTAATGTCGGCTGTTGAGTCAGAAAACCACTCATTATCTATCGATCAATGTCGAGGCGTTTGGCGTTGTTTGACCATCCAGAAACCAGGTTAGGTCAGGTTTATACTTATTGTACATATCTGAAAATAAACGGTCAGTATGACAAACAAGCCGACTGGAAGTGCCAAGCGGTCCTGACTTGGGGGCTGGGTCCTCCACGGACTCCAAGCCGCTGGCGGCTCCTGGACATCGGTGAAGGCTCAATTAATGACGGTCAATTGGAACAAGCGAATTGGAACTTGAGTGGATATATATATATATATAGTATATGTATATGTGTATATATATATATATATTAAGGCCTAACCAAAACAGTCTTTGTTCACAAGTTCATGCGACCCCAAGAAGATTAATAATGAGCATCAAGAATTGCAACACTCCAAACATGTTTCCCGTATCCTTGTGACAATCTGGGACACGCCACCTCACAGTTCTTCTCTAGAATTCAAGACCTCCAAACACAGTAAATAGTTAACAACGTGCGCTTCCGAGCCCCACATAGCAGCCAAAAACATCCAAAAACATGCTTGGAGTTGGAAATTGGCCTTTGTTGTCCAAACAGAAGGCAGTTCCGAGCCCTTGTGCACACGACTACCCACTAATACCCACTATCACCCACTCCACTTGCTCGACACTTTGGAGCCCTGCGCCAAGGACTCAACCAGCATCTTTACATCAGATCTGTACAGCGGTTCTTCCTGTGCCAGTCTGCGCGCCAAGTTTAGGGGAAGGCCTGCCTGCAGGAAGGGCTGATCTGCAAGGTCCAAAAATTGGCGCATGCGCATCTCGTACGAGGCTGGCATCGCGAGGCCAGTGCGAGACTCCTTGCAAAGGAATCTCAGTCTCTGGTTCCCTTGTCTTGAGATGAGCATCTCACCTGCTTGATTGGAAGGGAATGTGATGCAAGGGCCAGGTATGAACTTGACAAGTTCGCGGAAACTGAGATGAATCCAAAGTCACCCAGGCTTTGCTGTTCAGTATTGCACAGCAAGAGCTCATATGAACTGACTTGCTTGGCGTGCGTACTTCATTCGCAGCTGGGGGGCCAAACCACCTCCTAGGAATCATGACTCGCGGCAGCCTGACTGTACAACAATGGGCTTTCCATGGCTTTTCTGTACTTATACCACATTGAAATCCTAACCTACCAACCCAAGCACTTGCCGATCATGCATCGTATCCTCCGACCGGTGGCAATGATCTTGGCCATCCTCTGAAACATCTTGACAAACTCTTGCGAGGAATGCCCGGTGAAGTCCACCAGTATGGTGATCGTGGCAAAAAATCCAATAATTCCTGGTCAGTCAGTCGGAGGCTTTGAGAATAATATAACATGTGAAGATGTTGCTTCTAAAAGTTAAAGGCCTCGATCTCCTTGGATGGTGGTTAGCAATATCTGCAAATGGACTTCAAGGTCTGAACTACCCTGCACATCTGCATGATCCACGCCCAAATCAAAGTCAAAAAAGCTTCAAGGAGCAACAACAACAACAACAACAACAACACCGCCAGCAGCAGCAACAACAGCAACAACAACAACAACAGCAGCCTAGATTCCGGCTGCATCTAGCAAAGCATGCTCGTTGCTCCTCTCTGCTAAAGCCTTGCGAGCCAAGCCAATCTTCTCGGGAGTCCTTAGTGACTTAGTGCCAGCTGGCCAGCTTTTCTGCGGCAGCCGTCAAACTAAGCACCGAATGCCCCCTAGCAATTCTGCTGCCACTTTCCCGCACTCCTCCGGAAAGTAAAAAATGTAAAATGCAATGCTCAATGCTGAACCCGGCAGCTCTGGGGATGCCACAGCAATTGCCAACGCGCTGATTTCATCATGCAGAGGGTGTTGCCCACCCAACAGTGCCGTTTCAGCCACCAGCGCCATGCTGGTGTGAGACTGAGATCAGAAATTACATGCCTTTGCGGTGGTGTAATCAGCGGCGGCCACTTCCAATTGACCACGGTTCAGTGTCCGATCCGTGCCAGGAACCTTCATGAACCGAAGGACATCATGAATTGGCACATACATCACATCCCTCCACTGGAGGAACTCCCAACATGTGAGCGGCGCTGCACTGGCCCTCGAGGTCGGGATAGCGGGGCTGTCTCCAAAGCTGATCATGGATGGGTCCAAGTGAAAAGCTTCCACCACCTCTTTCCGCAGCTGCTCACTGGGAAGATGTGGACCCCAAGCAATCGACCGATGTGTTTTCAAGCTACTGGTGGAATAGTCTGAGACAAACCGGAACCGCCCTGGCTGGGAAGGCTGTGGCGCCGGTGGCAAGGGTGGAGCCGGTATCCCTGCCGCAGCACAAAAAGCTCTCACTCCGGCACAGAGGGCTGCAACCAACACGAGTTCAATGGCCATAGCCTTGAAGTCATCCTCGCCCAACGTAGGATCCTTCCATCCATATGTGAGAAGACCACAGAACCACCCTTCCGTTTGGGGGCCCTTCAGGTGGTCGAGCTGAGGTTGGAGGTTGGGGCATTCTAGATACAAACGAGGTTTCACAACTCTTCTCTTATGGGAAAAAACCTTTGCAAACATAACCTCAAACGCTAGATCCCCATGGCCCCTAGCTCCTGATGAAACTGCTTCATGCGCTCCAGAACTGCCTCGAAGAAGGTCTCATCGAGCTTCTGCTGACGGTTCACGAAGGCGTGTGCCAAATCCCTGAAGGGACTGGTGGTTGTGAAATCATGCTCGATCTCCTTCTGGCAAAGGCTGGGGAAGCGTACTTCACAAATGCTGTGCAGTCATTTCACCCATGGCATGGTTCTTCCACTTCTCTGGAACCAAGATTTATTAAAAGCGACTGCCTGGCACTGCTTCAGAACCAACCCAACTATGGGAGTATCCGGCACTCCCTTGGTCTTGCATGATTCAACTGCAATACAAATGTGTGTAAGGCTAATCCAAAAACAAGCCCCAACATGTCTCATGTCTCCTTTAGGTTGTAAGTGGCGAAGTTCTCCCCCTGCTGTGGCAACTTCATGACCTTTGCGCTCGCGCAGCCTTCACAGGCTCCCCAAGCTGCATAAGCTTCGGCCGCAAACTCCGCGCGGACACTGGAGGACAAGAGATCCCCAGGACCCACGACTGCGCGAAGGACACGCTCCACGCTGTCCTCAGCTCCCATGCAGTTCCTACCCGGACCCAAATCGACGGCTCAGACCCACAGTCGCGGTCGATTCTCCCAAAAATCATGTCCGAAAGAGAACTCCCGTGCTTGACCTGCTCTTGAAGTCCAGGTTTCGAGGCAATTCCTCTTCCGCTCGCCGCTTCGGTCTTTGGATGTGGCCTTGCCCTTCCTTGCGCCGAGTCACCAGAGACAGGTGCATGATGGTGGATGACTGGCCAAGAATCCAGGTTGGGGGGAAGACCTAGACCCCCCCCCGAGCTGGCTGTTGAAGCAAAAAACGGTCGAAGAGCTACATGATGCTACATGGCCCCTCGACTCTCTCTGAGGGGACGTTGTGGTGGTATCCCTGAAATAGCTTCTCAAAACGATGGAACGAGGCATTCGGAATTCGGACCTGAGGAGCCGTCACCCTCTGAAATGCGTGTCCGTTCCACACCTGAACAACACATATTCCACAATCATTGCTAAGAACCTCTTCGAATAGGGAATCCCCTTCCAAGCAAGTGTTTCAAACTTGCCAGTGATCAAGCAGTAGAAATGCTATGCTGAACCTAGGAAAAGGGCAATAAATTTGAAGCTCTATTATACTGGCCCCACATTATACTGGCCTTGTGGAGAATCACCTTCCTGCACCTGCTGACCCCTGCTTTCTGATTCATTTTCACCACCAGTCACCTTTTCTTCTCTGAAAGCCATGGTCCCGACGCACTACTCTACCCATCATCTCATTTCGCATTTCAAAAACCTCCCTAAAATAGTTGAAATATGGTTTTTGTGTTTTGGTACGTGACCCGTATACCCAAAACACTTTCTGATGCCATCTTCAAAGAGCAAGCCCACAGCCCAACTAAATACGGAATATGGCATATGCCTAAGGAGATCTCCAAAGGGGCTGGGTGCTTGCTACATCAACCAAAGGGAGCTAAAGCCAACTCAGGTGTCTGGTAGTAGCCGGTGCAGACATTACGCAGCACATCCACCGCCAGAATGGCTTTGAGACGAAGATTTCCCATCAGCACACTGGATCGATCCACGACGTGCTCGAGCAACTGTTTTTGGGCGTTGCAAGAGGTGAAATCAAACAGAGGTCATCCTGCTTGCAAACTGAGATCAACAACGCCAAAAATCCAGATGTGCACAAATGCTCGGCTTAGAAGTGAAGTAGCTCTTTGGTGGCCATACATCGAGAAGAGAAATGGCTCGAGCTCCTCCGAGGGTTGAGGACATACGGTGCAGTCTTGAAGATCCTCTTGCAATCCTGGCGAATGCTTTCCGCGGCGCACGCCTCGCAGCTGGCTGTCCTTCCAACACTCTATCAGCACCTAGGACCTAGGTTCTAGGCTACATGCTCATTTGATCATAAGAACACCGCGAAAAGCACTTTGTTCTCAGCAATAGCTGGGCTTTCAGAACATGGCCCGCCGCTGGCTCCTTTGCAAAAACGAACGCCTCTGAAGACTCTAAAGTAAGGTGGGGCAGCCCCACCTCCTACGAGTTCATCCTCATCTAACGGAGTGCACATCAGAAACATCAAAACAAAAGGCCCAAGGCCCCAAGGACCATGTTCCCATATTGCTCTCGGTGTTTCTCTTTGGGATCCCCCCCGGTCATCTGTCGTCGATCTTCGCTTCCCGGCCGAGATCAGCAAGCCCTGCAACATGGAGACCGTGCGCTGGGCTTGATCCTCCCGAACCTCAGCCAAAAAGCTGGGTTCACCACTGCGTTTCGTCGCACAAAATGGCGTCCGATTCCACGCTGTTTTGCCTCCAAGTGCCTCCGGTGTATTCCGGTGTCAGCTTGTTTCTTCATACGGCACTGCTGGTTGAAAGTTGGTCCTTTGGGAGCCTTTGATTAAAAAAGGTTGAATGGTTAAGGTTTGGCTCAGCACTTCGAGATGGTTCGATCGGATCGGGAGAAGAATGGGCTTGCCCCAAAGCGGTTACAAAAATAACCGAAACAAACCATCGTTGAATCTACTTCAATCATCGGAGATTTTCAGCATATACTGCCGTGTGACCGGCGTCACTGGTTTGAGAACTATACGTCTGCAAGTGTGGTCAGCATCTCTCAACTATATGACATCGTATGGGGAAAAAAAGAAACGAGCAGGGATTGGTTCATCAGAAATGGCTGGCTCGGGTACATGGTAAACTGCTCATTTACATACATGTGCTGCAATGTCAAACAAAAAAAGTAAAAACATCCAACCTTGGTTGCAGAAAGCGTCCGCTTCAGTCACTGGTCAATCTGAGGAGCATTGACTGGAGCACCCTTGTCCATTGTAGAGTCATCCAGGGCCACAATCCATTTCCATTTCCTCATTCAGGGCGACGAACCGTTGCCACTGACCGGGAGCCACACTATCTTTGATGATTTTGGGAGGTGTCTGAATTCTTTGTGTGGCCATGAAGGCTACAAGACAAAGCAAACTGCACTCGCCTGTTGTGCGACTCCAGCTCCAAAGTGTCCATCTCCTTGCAGCAAGTGACACCAACTTGAGACCTAGTAGCTTCTTGCTCCTGGTAGCGATGCCGGGAGCGACTAGTAGCTTCTTGCTCCTCATGAAGAAAACATTTACAAAAAAGCACAATTTGGGGTTGTGTAGATCGCTGCATCTGTGCGCCAACGCGGCCACGTATGTGTATATAATATATATATGTATATTATGTACATCCATAGTCCATAGTTGATGCATGCTTACTCTGTTCCACAGTTGCATACACTGTTGCATGCAAATTGGTCAATCGCCAACTTGACAGCCCATCACATGCTTCTCTGCACGGTTTCCTCACCATCGGCTGCCAGCTGCAGCAGCTTCTGTGGTGCCACCTCGAATGCACGAAGTGAAACAGCCAGGATCAACAGACCACAGGCCGCCAGGCCAGGTTCAGGAGAACATCAACAAACAATACGTGCTCCAACAGAGAATAGGACAACTGTGTTCAACTCAGTAGCTACGTTCACAGTGTCGGAAATTGATGAAAGTGTTTGTATTGATACGCCCAGAGATCATCGGCATTCTCAAAGTGCCATGGGCCCTATGATCTATGACTATTGGGATCCACGTAGCCGTCTAGGGCGGAAACTTTGTCCAGCAGGACTTTCATCAATATCCTACTTGAAGCACCCAGTAAGCTTGCTGGCTAGCGAGTCTGCCTGGGATTGCTGTCCAAACCCATCCAGCGATCAACGACTGTTCTGTCGCTTTTGGAGGATCCATCGCCTAGCGCCTAGCCCCTCGTAAAGCAGTTGAATTGAGTCGAAATCCGACGGCAAATGTTCAAAACATGGCAGGCAACTAACATCGTTTCTATAGTGGGATGTCGTCAGTCAAGTTCAATGAAGTCAAGTGAGCTTTTTAGAGCTACCTGGGGATCCATGGGCTATCTGGCAAGTTCTTAATGGATGGAACATCGAATCATCTTGATTCAACCTCTCTGCGCTCATGCTATCAACCAGCTGCCTGACCTTGCGAAGCTCCCGCAGGAACGCCGCGATTTCCAGCGCCTTCTGCTGGGCCTCCAAACGCATCGGCTGGAGGGTATGGATGGGCAAAGTCCGAACGTCCCAAGCGAAAGGGATGCGTGATGCTGCGTGTTGGATTTGGGATGATGGTTTTTGAGGGATTCTATATACAAGCGGGGTCGTTGAAGACGCTCGTCCGTGTAAGAAAGAGCTCACGGCGGCGGCGGCATCTTAGGTGTACAGAAAGAACCTGCTGAATTACATCATTGAACAACACCCTCAAAGAAGCAACTCCTGGTGCATGTCTGGACGATGATGTTCGATTGAGGGTTGATCGGTTGAAACGGTGAAGGGTGTTCATCTACCAATCATGCACCACCGTGTTGTCTCTGGGCGTTCCAGAATGTGTGAGCAAACCGTCAGGCGTGCCTCATCTTTGCCGTGCTTTGACACGTCCACCAGCCCAAACCTGAGAAGCACTTCTGAATGCAAGGCCATATAGGAACCCATACAGATTGTGTCATATACTCCATAACATGCTTTCATCCGCAAGCAGCTGTCATGTCATGCTCTGCTTCCTGGCCCCCGTTGAATATCAAAAAAACATTCAATACGTCGTATGTGCGGTACGTGTGTAGGTGTGTATATATATATATATATATGCATGCAAATGTTTGTAGGATGTATATAGGTCTGCCATGCTTCGGCCCAAGGGGCTGCAAAGGATGCAGATCCTGAAAGCGCAGAAGTGCGTAGCCAGTCTTTCTTCGTCTCACTGTCAGGGACAGGATGAAGTCACCTCGGGTCGCCAACTGCGGTGGTCCCTGAGCCCGTTATCAGTTGAGTGCTTCAAGACCCAATGATCCTGCTAGTTCGCAAGGGGGCAAATGTGCTGAGAATGCCTCACATCACTACTTTCAAATTGATCTGTCCTAACAAACGGAACTGTGGTCAAGTCAGGATGGTGGGTGATGGGGGGATGTCCCCAAGGCCTGAAACATGCCTGTATTCTGCGCACTCCCCAGGTCTGATGATGCAATGAAACATGATCCCTTTTAGATTTTTTCAAGATTGGTCTGCCAAGGGTTCATTGATGGCCGAACACTGCGAGCTTTAGGTGTCTCAGCGAAGATGCTTGCACCACCAGTGCTGAAAAACATGTGCATGCGGAGGTGTGGGCATATGAACAAAGTTTTGTCTAAAGCCCATCCTCAGGTCGGTCTCACTCCACCAAAGGATACAGTAACTACCAAACGAGTCATTAAAAAGAAGCTCACCTTGACAGTGAAACCCCACAAGCCTCGCGAATTCCAGGCTCTCTCAGGTCCAATGTCATTTGTGACCTCTCCACCCCAGGACCTCACCGTGACTTTGAACCAAGCGCATCGACGCATCGAAGGTTAATTTTCCGTTGCAAGGGCTTCTGCCAGCAACTCACACAGCTAGGCTTTGAGCAAGTAATTGTGCGGTATGTGTATATATATATATATACATGATCGCAAAATATCAAACATTGCTGCTCTTTAACTTTAACCTTGCCACTACGTCATCAAACAGATCGTTTTGGATGGTGTTCAGCTGCATGGTTTTGAATTCAAAATTTTCCACGTCAATATCAATATCACAAAACGCTCGCCCACAGCTGTTTCAGAATCAGAATATCTCTCAGCCCTAGCAAAAGCTTGTGCAATTCATTCTGATGCACGCGACCCCGGGATTGCTCAAATACCTTGAGTGGTTTCACCACTCCTTGAGCTCGAAAAGGCAATGTCTAGCTAGAAGTGCGACGCTAAGAACATCTGACTCTCAAATCCCAAAGCGTTCACGGTAGTCTTTGATTCGTGCTAAGAGTTCAGCACGATCATCCTTGGTGTATTGCTGATCGATGAAGGTGATAAGATCCTCCATCTTGGCAATGCTGATCACAGGCATCATGAAGTCCTTCTCCACCTGCTGAATCGCAGACACCTTCACATCTTCTTGCACCCTCTCTTGTCGATCCATCGCAACCACAACACCCACCGCACGAACATCCTTTTGGGTCCGCAGGAGGTCGATGGATTCACGAATTGCCGTGCCGGCAGTGATCACATCATCCACGATGAGCACGCGCGGCAGGAGCGTGCCAACAATCTGCCCACCTTCCCCATGAGTTTTCACTTCTTTGCGGTTGTAGGCATAGGCCACACTCCGACCGTGCTTCTTGTACAAGGCGATGGCCACCGCAGCACCCAAAGGGATCCCTTTGTAAGCTGGCCCGAAGATGCAATCGAATTCAACACCGGACGCCACGATGGCATCTGCATAGAATTCCCCCAGCTTGGCCAGTGCCTCCCCCGTGGTGAACAAGCCTGCATTGAAGAAGTAGGGCGAAGTCCTGCCCGACTTCAACTGGAACTCCCCAAACTTCAAAACTTCTTGGGACAAGGCGAACTCCACAAAGCCCTGAGCTGTGGCCATGGCGATGTCCCAGACCACGACGGACTCCCCACCAGTTTTTGCAGGCGCCTTTGAGCCACGGGTCACCGTCCAGAACTAACTAACCGATGTTGGACCAATCGTCGAAACACTGAACTGCCGCTTCTCCACCAGAAAGTCTTTTTGGTTGAGGATTGCACCAGAACCCGTCCCTCCCCCCCAAAAATGAACAACAAAGTGCTAGAGTGACCGACACCAGATCTATGGCTGCCTCTGGGCACGTCAGAAATCGCGATTTTTCGAGTGGGGAGAGCGCAGCGCAGCCCTCAATCTATCTCCCACCAAGCCAAGTGACCCAAATCGTCCTTTGGTCCACGCGGCAGCCTGGCCTTCTTGGACGGTTTGCCCGAGGCCTTCGGAGGTCGCTGCGGATGTCGCAGGTGTTTGGAAGCATAGGATCATCCTCGAAGGGGTTACACTCCAACGCGCCATAGAAAGAGAAAAAAATCGAAAACATGAAAAAAAAAAACTGTAAGGATGAGCAATCTTCCCAGTGGTCAGGTTCCACTATATATATATATATATGAAGTGAGGTCAAATTTGATTATGTGTGGTTGTTGCATTCTCAGATTTGTGAGCCCCCCAATTGTGTTCCAATGTTTTGGAAGCTTGTTAAAGCATGTTCTTGGGGAGCCCATTATCGATTGAACATCCCGGCATATGAATGCAGCGCTCTTATGCAATCGTAAACATCGCACAGTTTGAAGGCATGTCATATGCACCTTTGCTGGTGGGGGTGTGCTCCTGCCCAAACTGTCCCACTGTGGCTGTGGTTTTGGTGGGGGTTGGGCGATGGAACGAGCAATCTCCAGCGAGTGGGCCTTCTCAAGAGCAGCTTCCCATTCAGTGTCGTCGTCCCAAGACCTGACTGAAAGTATATGGAAATTGAAAAGTTCAACATAGCACAAGAAAGTGCTACTGAGAAATGCCAGTGTTATATGCAACATATCTTGTTGCCAGTGATGCTGACATTCTTGGTGCAACAAAAAATGTCTATGTACTCCTTGTGAGGACGCTCAATTGATCTTCCAAGACCTATCTTTGTGCTTGATATGTGTTGAATGCTGTGTACTATTAAGTGTATCTACATCTATATCTATATCTATATCTATATAGTTATAACTGTTGATCGTGCTGTTTATTGGTTATGCATGCTGCTGCCGCCGTTGGTTGCTGTTGTTTCTTGGTGGTGCTCTTATCCCATCCTCCAGTTCCCAAATCCAAGGATTCTTTGTTCCCAAAATTGCCCCCAACGTCACCTGCTGGAACCACTTGTCTGCTTGGGATCCTTCGTCTTGAGCTCCTTCCAGGTCACATGGAATGCTAGCCCCCCTTCAAGCTCCACACTCCACACCACAGCTATGGCTCATTCATGGCACAACAGCGCTCCGGAAAAGGATTCTCAGCCTGCCGCTCTAAGGATGAGGTCCTGGGCAATGCGCTACTCAGACTACTCACGGCAGTTCAAAGACATCCGACATGTCAGGTGGCGGCGGTGGAAGGTGTGCTTCAGCATCCCCGAAATATTGCCTGAAAACTCTATCTATATGGGTCACAGCCATAGCGACAAAAGGGGCCGCCGGGATTGCTCCAAAATCTCCATTCCGGCTGCCCCAACCCGCCTCGCAAAGCGTGTGGCAGAAGGCCTGACATGAGCAATTGCGCAAACATCGTGTGCCACGAAGCCACTCCCGTGTGATTCCTTGTGTTCCAGCTGGGGTGCCCAGCCATATGTGCCACACGGGTCCTGAACAGTGCACATTGTCTTGCACTGCTGCAAAGGAAGCATGCACAAATCAACAGATCAAAGCAATATTAAACACGCATAATAACGCCATGGACAATAATCATTTCCATCGAAATCAAAAAGAATTGCTGCATTCCTGCCTGCCCCAAGGCGGAGGCGAACTTGCCGGAAGCATGTCAAAGTGCCCATTGTGGAAGCGCGTGCGCATAGATTGTGCTAGCGCCCGGCGCCGTCAAACAAGGCTTGGTGCAAAACATTGCAAAGCCGCGCGATACAAGTTGAGGCAAAAATTCAATATAAGGGCCCCCCGGAAGCACCAGACTCCAGACTCAGAGTGTTTGGACCTGAACAGTTGAAGAACTGACTGCCTGTTTTTCTTTCTATGCCATAAACTATAACAAGTGATTGACACTTTGTGTTGACAGTTTTCTGTATGCATGTGTCTGACTGAGATCAGCTGCGGAACCGGCAGGAACACGACTCAAAAAACGATCGGCCCTGCAACCTGGCTGCTTCAGTCGTGAACTGGCAGTTTGCACAAAGAATTGTGACTGAGCAATGTCGTGCACAGAAACGACGGCTCAGTTTGAGAACGGCGGTGCCTGCTCATGCAAAAGGCCCACACATGCAAGGCGTGGCGAGCACTGAAGTTTGCTAAGGTCCTTTTGGCATTGATACAAGAACAGAAGTTGCGTTGGCATGGTGCATAGAAGCAACCAATTTTTACACGTTTCACACACACACACACTCCAGAAAAATAACCATCCTGCGATTGCGGCTTGCCACACGCCAACCTAAGTGAAAACCTATACGAGTCCAGGTGAATACCTCCAAGGGGCAACTGCGCGACGGGCCACGGGCGGACTCATGTGCACTTTAACGCAGAACCGAAGCCAGGAGAAGGGTCTTGTTCTAGTTACGAGCAGGGGCCACTAGGAATTGAATGTCATCACCTGGCAGGTACGCAGTTGGACGCCTCCAACTGTATCTATCAATGTCTGATGAGCGTCTTTGTCAGCACCGGCCCCCTCAGCACCCCCAGTGCCCCCTCCTGTCAAATCACTGAAAGAAGCAGAGAACAAGTTCAACAGAATCCCTGACTCCACGGTTTTCACACACACTTAATCAAAGTTTCATCCAGTAAGATAATCCACGAGGAAAAGAGCGATGGAACGGCAAGATGGCTGAGTCCGCGAGAACAGAATGTTAGAACATGTGCTTGAACTCTCGCAGAACGCGGGTTTGGGAACTATCATGAAGGACCATGAAATCAAAAAGTCTGCGGCAAGGTGGACCAGTGGAGCCAGTGTGTTGGCCAGCAAGTACGTCCAGAAAGCGTCCTTTCTGGATACAGTATCACGACCAGGCTATCACTGTCTTCGTTGGGCAGTGAGTGATAGCAGCAGTCCACTGCCCCCCTGCTGATTGCGTTCAAAATTAAACTCTGGATACGGAGTGCGGCACACATACATACATACATACATACATACATACATACATACATACATACATACATACATACATACATACATACATACA